AAAATAAATAAATAAATAAATAAATAAATAAATAAAAGACTTTGCAGGCCAGATAACTTTTCTTTGTATTATCACACATGACAGCCCCCCTGTAACATTATCTCCTGATTAATCCATGTGATTGAGTACGTGGTGAGATCAAGTATATAGATGGCAGCTCAAAACAAATTATCCCTACTCCAGCCGTAAATGTGTACTTTTTAAAATTGTTGCTCATGTATTATTTTCCTTTAAATGATATTTCTAATGAAGTAGTGGACTCTCACAAAATAAATGCTTGAACCTCTCTGCTTTTTTCAGACTTCAAAAACTTTCTTTATAAATTCACTGAACTATAGTTGTATAATGATAAACATCTTTTGATGATATACTCTGATAGTGCATTTTTGTCATTATTTTTAATTAATTCATCATAACTGCACATGTTTATGGGGTACAATGTGATTTTCCAATACACGTATATAACATGTAATGATTAAATTAGGTGCTCAGCATACCCATCACCTTAACACGTTTATTATTTTTTTTGTGTTAGGAACATTCAAAATCAAAATCCATTCAGAGTATACAATAAATTGTTGTTCATTATAATCAGGCTATAGTGCTGTAAAATACCAGAACTTACTCCTCCCAGTTTCCTGTAGATTTATATCCACTAACCAACCTTTGGTTATTCCCTTTCTGCTGCTTTTTATGATAATGTACTGTTTGATTTAAGGTCCTTATTTCAGATTTTTTTACTTTTAAATGGCAGGGAGGCAGGTACCTTCCAGAGTATTTCTGTATTGTTAGCAGGCCTGCTACCGATTTGGAGCAAATGGCTGTTAAGAGTCCTTCCTGGTGCACATGCCCTAGAAATCTCAAATATTTTAACAGAATGACCTTTGGTGTAAGAGAATATCTTTTAGACTGTGCTCCACTGTGTTTTGGACAGATTCAAAATTTGTACAAAGTTATTCAGTGCTGGGGAAAACACATACTTTGTTTGTGTTTTATCTGCTTCGTGTGAGTGTTCTGTAACTTGCTACAGAAAGATGCCAAGTTGTCAGGGTTCCAGGTTTTTCCATTCTTATGAGCTTTATTTTTATGTCTTTGAATAAAAGAGGTATTTGAATGGAGTTTTTATATTGGAATGGAGTTCCATATGTAGAAATATAAGAAATTTGGAATATATATTTGGAAAGAAAAAAAAGAGTTGTTCTTTAGAAAAAGAAACCACTGGCTCGGCACCTGTGGCTCAAGCGGCTAAGGCGCCAGCCACATACACCTAAGGTGGCAGGTTTGAATCCAACCCAGGCCCACCAAACAACAATGATGGCTGCAACCAAAAAATAGCCGGGCATTGTGGCTGGCGCCTATGGTCCCAGCTACTTGGGAGGCGGAGGCAGGAGACTCACGTAAGCCCAGGAGTTGGAGGTTGCTGTGAGCTGTGATGCCATGGCACTCTACCCAAGGTGACAGCTTGAGGCTCTGTCTCAAAAAAAAAGAAGGAAAAGAAAAAGAAACCACTGGCCCACTGGCATAAAAATTTAGGACCAGGGGAGAAAATATTTGCAGATCATAGAGGACCTGGTACCCAGAGTGTATATCTTGCAACTCAACAATAGACAGACAGCCTAACTTCAAAATGGGCAGAGGACTTCTCTACAAAGACACATAAGTGACAAACATGTGAAAGGATGCACAGCATCACTAGTCATTAAGGAAGTACAGATTGAAACCACAGTGAGATACCACGTCACATTCATTACTTTTAAAAAATGATAAATAAGTGTTGGTGAAGTCGTAGAGAAATTAGAACCCTTTTCCTTTGCTGGTGGAAATGCAAATTGATTCGGTGCTGCGGGGGAAACAGTTTGGCTGTTCCTCAGAATGCTAAATATAATGTGTTTAACGTGTTAAACACATGTGAGTGGGATCTGTGAGAGGGGTGTATGTGCCTATAAATATGCACAGATAGACACACACACAATGGCATATTATTCACCCATAAGAAGGAATGGAGTAAGATACACACCACAGCATACATGGACCCCTAAAACATTGTGAAGTGAAAGTTTAAAAAGGTCATATATTATATATTCCATTTATCTGAAATATCCAGAATAGATAAATCAATAGTGACAACACAAATTGGTGGTTGCCAGGGGATAGGGAAAAGGAAAATGGAGCGAAACTACTTAATAGGTAAGGAATTTTGCTTTGAAATGATAGAAATGTTTTGGAACTAGATGATATTCGTACTAGTTGACAGCATTGTGAATGAACTAAATACCACTGCATTGTTCACTTTAAAATGATTAAATTTTACATTCTGTGAATTTCATGTCAATTATTTGGAAGAAATACTTTAAGACTTCTGTCACTTTTTTAAATCTTGTGTTAAAGTAGATTAATAACTGCCTGCAGTTATTCTGTTTGCTTTATCCTCATACATTAGGGGGATGGCTATCAAGCAGTCCAACCTCCAGTTACTTTCCTGAATTTTAACTTTTGTTTTTGTTTATTCTTGAGCAGAGTCGCACTCTATTGCCCAGGCTAGAGTGCTGTGGTATCGACCTAGCTCACAGCAATCGCAAACTCCGGGGCTCAAGTGATCCTCCTGCCTCAGCCTCCCAAGTCGGTGGGGCTACAAGTGCCCAGCACAGTGTCCAGCTAATTGTTTTCTGTTTTTAGTAGAGATGGGGTCTTGCTGTCCCTCAGGCTGGTCTCCCATCTCCTGAGCTCAAATGATCTTCCCCCCCCTCCTTCCCTCAGCTTCCCCAAGTGCTAGGATTACAGGCATGAGCCACTGTACCTAGCAGGCCATCAAGTAGTCCAAACTCTAGTTAATTTCCTGAATTTTAAGAAGATGCCAATAAGCTCACATGCCTGGCTGAAACCACATGGTCCTACCTGGAGAATATATACTCTGGGAAGTTCACAGAGAATAAAACCTCCAAACTCCACCATTTGATTTCCTGTTTAAGAGTTCATTTAAGAGAAATGAAGTCTCCAAGGATAAGATAGTGAAAGGTAGCATCGTGTTTAGCATACTGGTGCTACCAACATAATTTTTTTGTTTGTTTGTTTTTCAAGGCAGAGTCTCACTCTGTCACCCTGGGGAGAGTACTGTAGCATCATCGTAGCTCCAGTAACGCTTGGGCTCAAGAGATCCTCTTGCCTCAGCCTCCCAAGTACCTGGGACTACAGGTGTGTGCCACCACACCCAACCAGTTTTTCTATTTTTTGTAGAGACAGGGTCTCTTGCTTAGGTTGGTCTCTAACTCCCGAGCTCAAGGGATCGGCCACCCACCTTGGCCTCCCCGAGTGCTAGGATTACAAGCGTAAGCCACCGTACCCAGCCTAACATAATGTTTTTTATACATTCAGCCTGCCTCTTCAGTAAAACCTGAAGGAAACTTGATAATATACCTCTACAGGAATACCATTTAGGAAATGCCATGGGTCTTTCCTCTTGGCACTTGAGGTGGGATTTTTTTTCATCACATGCAGACAGGGTTCAATAAACCTGGCTGCATCTTAACTGCCACCTGCTTTCGTCTAGCACCACCATAGCTAAGAGTGGTTTTTCTACTTTTATTTGGAAAAAATCAACAGGGTAGCATTTTGTGACATGTGAAAATTATATGAATTCTGTCTTGAGTGTCCATTTGGAACACACCCATGCTTAATTTTTAATATATTGTCTATAGCTGCTTTCCCACTTACAATGACAAAATTGAGTGGCTACCACAGAGACCCTATCTATATAGCCTGCAAAGACTCAACCACTTACCGTCTCTTGACAGAAAAAGTTTGTTGATCCCAGATTCAGGCTTTCAGACGCATTGTGTGTTATCTGGTTCCCACTAACTAAATGGCAGTGCATCGCCCACCACTCTGACAATGAAAGGTATCCAAGCAGGTTTTCAAATGGCCCCTTGGGTATGGGAGTGAGCCGGGAGAGTAGTGGGCCATGGTACCTCTCCTAGTTGAGAACTAGCACATGCTACGTGGTAGCTCCTTTATTGATCTTCATAGGAGTCCATAAAAAATTTTGCTTAGTTCTCTTAGAAAATGTTATGTTTTTCCTGGTGTGAATCTCATAACGGATTGTGTTTCTTTCTGTTGAGGCTTCTGGAAAAAAGAGCCAACTGTTTGGAAATAGTATATCCCTGGTTAGCTATGTGACTAATTTATGTGATCTGAATTTATAAATAGATGTTATTTTGACTACAATTTATTTTCCTACCTTTATTTTCCTTTGATGTGCTTTGTACATCTATATTTTATACTCCTCTACTAAAGGCATTCTTTCTTTAAAAAAATATTTTTCTTTTTTGAGACAGAGTTTCATTTTGTCACCCTTGTTAGAATGTTGTGGTGCCACAGCTCACAGCAACCTCAAACTCTTGGGCTCAAGTGATCCCAGCCTCCCGAGTAGCTATGACTATAGTTGCCTGCCACAGCTCCTGGCTAGTTTTAGAGATGGGGTCTCGCTCTTGCTCAGACCGGTCTTGAACTTCTGAGCTCAAGCGATGCACTGGCCTTGGCCTCCCATAATGCTAGGATCACAGGTGTAAGCCACTGCACCTGGCCCTTCTTTTTTAAACTTCAAAAAAAAATTGTATAGATGGGGGTCCCACTGTGTTGCCCAGGCTTGTCTCTAACTCTTAAGTTCAAGTGATTCTCCTTCCTCAGGCTTCTGAGTAGCTGGAACTTAGATGTATTCTTAAGTTGCTGTCAGTCCTTTTGGGAATGAGATTTAATTAAATAACAAATACTAACTGAGCAAACAACATTAGTAAAGATTTTTATAATCTGAATTTTTTGCTTACAAATACTGGTCCCATCTCATTTGAATTCAGATCAGTAATTGTTAATAGCTGTATATAATACTAAATACTTAGTCCATCTCATTTAATTTTCAAAACAGCCTCATAACATCAATACTGCCGTTACCAGTATTTCATAGGGTTTTGAGTTTTAGATTAAATCTTGATCGAAGTGTTCCTCATAGTAAGTGCTGGAAGTGGGATTTGAATCTAGGTAGCATAGACTTCAGTAATGAAACTCTGAATAGTACATTATACCAGTTTTTAAAAACATTTTTAGCAGTGGAATATTTTAAATGGAATTCTAATGTAGAAATCCCAATGATATAACTGATTAAAGTTGTATTATTCATATATTCACCTTTTAGAAGTTGAAATGTGTGTTATTTACTTGTGAGAAGGTCAATTTATGAGGTAAATGAGGTTGTTGGCTGACTATTCAGCCTCTGGTTTATTTCTGTATT